GTCCAGGCAAAAATTAACCAAGAAGCTATCACAACAAAAAACAAGATCTAATGGCATATATCTGGGATCCCAACTATGCATGAGGCCCTAACAGGACTGCTGTCCAGAGGTGGGCCAGGCCAAAAAACCATAAAGACTATATCTGAAAAATAAGCCCAAAGGGGCTAGAAGCATAGGTCAAGTGGTACAGTACTTTCCAAGAATGTGGGGCCCCAATTTCAAATTCCTAGTACTGCCCCTCAAAAAAAAATTGTCACTAGTGGTGGGCATGGTGGTACAAGTAATATTGAAATAAGGTGGCTGAGCCTAAATAATTTCTTGCAGACATCCTGGTGCCTAGGCAGGAGATGGGGGGCTGTCCACCCTGCTCCAAGGCCTAGAGGTAAGACAAACCATCCTTTGAAGTACAGATGCCTGGCTCAATGGGGTGAGCTAGGAGGGCTCTGCTTCAGAGAAATACAGATGTCATAGCCTTAAGAAAGCTTTGATTAACTCCCTAAATGGCTTGAATCACCAGCCTCTGAGTACCTCTAAGCATACCCTATATGGAAGATTAAAGCCTATATTCCTTAGATGAAGAAGTTCTGCTAGTACCTGAGTATGTCCATTAAGGTCTGGCATCTGGTCTTCATGGTAGTGGGAGGGTGATAGTCATTCCTGGATCCCTGGGACAGGGGCGGGTACTTGGCTGATAGGTTGCTGAACCTGTCAGTCCAAGTGCCTGGGACTGGGAGTGTCCTGTGACCCTGCCACCCTGCCCAGACCCTATTTAGGCATGGATGGCATGGGGACATCATGCCACATGTGTCTCCATGATCCCATCATGTGTCTTGTCTCTTGGCTCATCTCCAGTCATCATGGTGTCCCAATTCAGCTCTCCATCAGAGAGCTTGTTTGGTTTGTTGGTATTGTTTTTGTTCTTTCCTCTCTGGCCTGTTTCTTAACCATGTTACATGCATTTGGGGGCTGCAGGCCTTTGTAATAACTGGCGATATGCAGCCTGCTGTGTAATAAAGACTCCAAAACTCCATCTTCCAAAATGTGGCTTCTGGATAATTCACCTTACAACAATCTCAGAACTCATGAAATGGAAGTAAGGAAGACTAACCTAGGCTACATAATGAGATTTGTCTCAAAAAGGGGGGAGGGGGAAGGGGAAGCAACCATCTGTTGTTGTACACTACCGTTCATAACCTAAGATTAATTTCTTAGGTCAAATATTCCATATCCTCTGACTCAGTCTCCCAAATATTGGGGTTATAGGTGTACACCACCATGCCTGGCTAGTGTACCTATTTTGATTTCTACTTATCATGAGGTCAGGTGTGGAATTTTCTACTTGTGACATGACTGATGTCAACCCTCACAAAGTTTCAGATTTTGGAGAAATTTTTGTTTTGTTTTTTTTGTCAGTTGTGGTACCTGAACTCTGGGCCTGGGCACTACCTCTCAGCTCTTCAGCTCAAGGCTAGATTGAGCCACAGTGCCACTTCCAGCTTTTACTGCTTATGTGGTACTGAGGAATTGAACCCAGGGCCTCATGCATGCAAGGCAAGCACTCTACCACTGAGCCACCTTCCCAGACCCATCAGATTTTGGAGAAATTTTCATATGGGGTTTTTGTATTCAGGATGCTAACAAATTATTTTTAATAATTCTTGAATATAGATATAATCTTTGTTCTACATTTTCAAGGTTTCTGTGTATTTAAAAATTTCTGTAACAAAACTTGGGGGTGGAATTAATAATATGCATTAAAAGCAAAGTCAATTTATTTTTATTTTAGTAGGTTTCATGGCCTGTATTACCTGTTTTCTATTAACAGATGAAAGCTGAATCTTGGAACTCAGTAAAGCTTGGAGATACATGGCATGCTAGCTTATTGGAGGAGGCTCTGGATTTAATCTTTAGTGCAAAAAGGAAGGAAGGAAGGAAGGAAGGAAGGAAGGAAGGAAGAAAGGAAGGAAGGAAGAAAGGAAGGAAGAAAGGAAGGAAGGAAGAAAGGAAGGAAGGAAGGAAGGAAGGAAGGAAGGAAGGAAGGAAGGAAGGAAGGAAGGAAGGAAGGAAGGAAAGAAAGAAGGAAGGAAAGAAGGAAGGAAGGAAGGAAGGGAGGGAGGGAGGGAGGGAAAGAGGGAGAGAGGGAGAGAGGGGAGGGAAGAAGAGAAGGAGGGAAGGAAGGAGGGAAAGGAAAGAAAAAGAAAGTTGCCTCCTGGGAACTGGCAGATATCCCATACAAACATATCATTAATAACTCATGATTGGACATGAACTGGATATATGACCTGAAGTAGCCACTGGCTTACTAACATCCTATAGAATCTGTGGCCTGACTTGCTGAGAATTGCTGCTGAGCCAATCAGATTTCCCCTCCTGAAAACTGGACCTAAAATACAGTAACTATAGTAAGTTAATAACATGTATTGTAATTTAATGTATTGTGCTTAGAGGTGGCATTAGTATGCCAAACAAAGGAGAAAGGAGAGGCCAGGTATCCATAATCATGCCTATAATCCTAGTGACTCAAAAGGCTGAGATCTGAGAATTGAAGTTTGAAGCCAGACTAAGAAGGAAAGTCTATGAGACTCTTATTGCCAATTAACTACCAAAAAGCTAGCCGTGGAGGTATAGCTCAAGGCCAGAAATAAAGGTGTGGCTTCAGGCAGCCATCAGTGAAAAAGCTGAGGGACAGCATCCTGGACTTGAGTTCAAATCCCAATCCTAGCGCACATGCACGAGTGCGCACATGTGTGTACACACACACACACACACACGGAAAAGTGAGCTTCCCAAAAGAAGTGGGCTTATATAGAGGACAAATCTGCACAGAGATCACAGGATACCTCCCCTCTCAGAAGTGAAAAGTTCCTTGCCGTTGTTTCCCTTAGCTTTCTTGTCTCCAACACCAATACTCACTGGACCCAAATACAATTAGCTTCCTGTCCTTAGAGTCTGTGGCTTCTTATTAAGGTTTTTCTGAACCACCAGGTATCTGGTGACCAGCTATAAGTACTTTAACAACTTTACCATTTCTGATCTTCCTCAAAGCTTTGAAATGAATAAATGTTAATTACTACAAAAGGCTAATCCAGTAAATATTTATTCTACTGTATAGCAGCAAGGCTGCCTGGGAGAAAACTTAATAATGTTAGTTCTATTCTAATTTTGTCATTGATGCCAGTTAATGACAAATCCACTCGATACTTTTTAAAGTATCTTTCCACTTTACATCTACTTATTCATCAGGAAAAGGCTAAAACTGCTCCTGCACTGGTCAGCTAAGGAAAATTTGCAATTATGAGCTATTAAATGTTTTCTAGGAAGGACACATTAGTGTTGGAGCTCCCTAATGAGAAAATGGAGGATCTGAATCTCTGCTTGAGTGTGTAAAAATAGGGAAATTCACAGGACAATACTTTTTAAAAAGCACTCTAAAGAAAACACATACCTTGGAGAGGTTCTTCTTTTTAAAAATTTACATAACCATCCCCAAATAAAATTTTAGAATCTTAAAAATAAGGGGTATCAGCTGGGTGCTGGTGGCTCACACCTGTAATCCTAGCTACTCGGGAGGCTGAGATATGAGGATCACAGTTCAAAGCCAGCCAGGGCAGGAAAATCCACGAGACTCTTATCTCCAATTAACCATCAGAAAACTGGAAGTGGTGGTGTGGCTCAAGTGGTTGAGCACTTGCCTTGAGCTGAAGAGTTTATGGACCCAGAGTTCAAGCCCCACAACAGACAAAAAAAAGGAAGTGGTAATCTAGTACACAGAGTCTCTTTATATATATTTTAAAGTTTTCCCAAGTCCATTCACATTACACATCAATTACACACACACACACACACACACACACACACACACACACAGTGACAAGCATCTTGAGGCCTTCCTCAAAGGGAAACTCCCGACCTTAGACTTGGCACCCCTTGATAAAATGATGAGGGGTTCAAGCAAGCCAAAACCTCAAGAGCATAAAGAGACTTCAAGCCACCACTTAATGGTGTTTTTAACTATCAATAGCAAGGATTAACTAGATAGCTAGTCAGGGCTAGATAGCTAACCATTGGAAATTCATACATATAGACCTCCGTTTTGCGGGTGTTCGCGTGGGTGCTCTGCTACAGGTTTGAACTCAAAGTCTCCAACTCCGGCATGGCTTTTCAGCTCACAGCTGGATCTCTACTACTTTAGCCACGCCTCCAGTTCCTATTTTTTGTTAGTTAATTGGAGATAAAAGTCTCAGGTGGTGGTCTACTTGCCTGGCTTCAAATTTCGATCCCCAGATCTTGGGTCTCCTGAGTAACTAGGGAAAAGCAAAACAAAACAAAAAACGACGACATAGGAGCAGAAATGAGTTTGGACGAAACTTGGAAGATTGAATTGACAAGGTCTCCCTTGTCTGGAAATGATATTTCCCACAAATTAGGAATGCCCCTTGTATTTCCTAAACCCTGGTCCCCACTGCCAAGGACCTCCTGACCAAGGCCAGTATTTGCTGACAATCCCTGTCCAAGTGAGTTTCAGAACCCTCCCTGCTGGGCTAGTGGGGTCTTCATTGTAAGGTTCGCCTACCCAGGGCGAACTTTACATGCATCACTTAGCACGACCTTGGGCAAGTCGATTCCTCTCAAAGTTTTCTGCTTCATAAAAAGGGAATGAGAACACAGTTCTAGCAGGATTGTTATCGGAATTCTTTAAGCACTTCTGTATGGATTAACCATAACAAGTCTCATTGCCATAGCAGCCCTTAGAGTCAGTTTTAGGAACCTGGCGGGTAAAGCAGCCTGCCAAGTCACCACGGAAACGCCCAGCCCGCTCGGTGGAGAGTTGCAAAGGGCCACGGAGCCCTGGAGGGTGGGGGACTGCAGAACCGCCCGTGGGAACAGCCCTGCTGCCCACCCCGAGGGCCGAGTGGCCCGGGCCCTCCATACGGGGCCCAGCGTCTCTGGAGCCTCCCCGGGCTCCAGTGACAGCAATGCGGCTCTGGCGAGAACTTTACCTGCCAACGATCACCACCCCGCCGGCCTCTGAGGACGCCATGGCCAGGAGCCCGGCTGAGCGGAGAAATGCACCTGGAGCGCTAAGCGCAAGCCTGGAGTACACAGAGCTGTCGCTGGCGGCGCCAGGCGTGAGGCTGAGTCCTGGCGCCTAGGGTGGGGCCTGCCGCGGCTCGCGCCCATTGGCTGCGACGCGCTGGTGGGCGGGATCTGGGGGGGCAGGACGCTGGGGCCCTGGCACCCCGCTAGCAGATCCCTCTTGCGGGCGGAGCCGCCGGCGGGGCGGGACTGTGGCTGTGGGCTTGTTAGGACGGAAGGCCTGGCGCTTCTAACTCCAGTCAATTTTGCTTATTTTTAAGTTTCTGTGAGCTTTAAGTGAAGGTCCATTGGAAGAGACACGGCCAGGCTGGCCCAAAGCTCTGCCACTAAAACGACCTACAGAACGCTCCCCATTTCTCGTTTGAAGATAGTCTTCAATACGCCCCAATTTAGGACATTAAGTGCATTTGTTGCTGGGTTTCCTTTCTAGAAAAACACCTGCTGCCTTGCTTCACAGATGAGAACTAAGGCCTGCGTACTTTGGAAAAGCAGGAAGGAGAAAGTCCAGATGTATTCACCTAAGAAGAAGGGAAAGGCATTTGGATTCTTCTAGTGTGCTGCAGAGACTGAGCTGCACATGCTCTTTCCAGAGGTGGACTTGGTCCCTGTGTAAGATAAAGGAAGTGACAAAGGCATTAGTAAGTAGGGCTTGCCTGTAATCGCAACCTTCCTTCCCCTCAAGTGGAAGAGGCAGGAGGATTGCCAGTTCCAGGCCAGCCTTGTTACTTAGAGAAACCTTCTGAAAAACAAAACAAGAAAGAAAGTAAGAATGAAAGAAGGGAGGGAGGGAGGGAGGGAGGGAACAAAACAAACAAGATTGTTAGAGTATATTAGACTTTGTCAGAAAACCACCCAGACAATTAGGTTCAAAGAACAAAGAAAAGGTTTATTGCCAATAAAGGGACCAGCAAGACCCCTTCTCACAAGAGTTGAGTGAGAAGTGTTGCTATTGTCTGAGGTGACCTATATAGCCTAGGACTTCTAGGAGGGGCTAGAAGGGGCTAGGAGGCAGAGGTCCTGGTGTGGACATGTGGGCAGGGGCTTCATCATGATGGGCTAGGCTTTATGGCTGCTGCCCAAGTGGTAGGGGCCCTGCAGCTGCCCAGACCTGAAAGTCACTCTAAGGGGCTCTTGTTGCCTTATATGGTGGTAGCTGCCCCAGAGGAGTGCCATCTTAAGACTAAGGGGGAGTGGGAGGCTGATTATTTACTGCCTTTAGTACAAGGGCCTAGTGTTGCCTAGGAGGGAGCATGCTAAGCTGTGGAGAGGGGAAGGAGCATGTTAAGCTATGGGAAGGGAATTCATTGGGCTAACAGAAAAACAAACAACAACAAACAAAACAGGAGAGACAAGAACACTACAGGAAAAAGTTCGTGCCCACATAGCACAAGAGGAAAAGGAAGTGCCCAGTCCAGAAGATTGAGTAGAGCCCAAGCCTGAAACAGGTTTTCAGATGATGAATTTGGTTTTTTTAAACTTTTCTTTCCTGTCTTTATTATTTTATTGTCAAGGTGATGTGCAGTGGGGTTATAGTTAAATATTAGTAAGGTAATGATTACATTTCTTGTCTAACCTGTTGCCCCTTCCTTCATTTTTCTCCCTCTTTTCCTCCCCCACCCCCCTAATTGTACAGATCATTTCCAACATATTGTCTTGTGAGTATTGCTGTTGCATAAGTTCTCACTTTGTCCTTTGTAAAAAGGAAATTAACCTAGAAGATCACATGGACAAAGTGATGTATAGGAGAAAGGTTTATTGCCAGCAAAGCTGACAAGGCCAAGTTCTCAGGAAGAAAATGGTGCTGTCTGGCTCCCAGGAAGACCCTTTTATACCTCCGAGGCTGGAAGTGTTTCACCTGAGGCTGGAGATGGGAGGTGCCTCACCTGCCTGAGAAGTCTGCCATGGAGGGAGGAGCTTAGGTGAGAGGGGTGGAGGGAGGAGAGCATTTGCTGCTTTACACTTTGTCTCACCATTTTGTTGCTCCCCTTCTCTTCCCTAGTTCAGATAGACATATATACAATACCCAGAGTAGCAAAATTGAATACAGTGACAACAGAGACTAAACCATAGGGGAAAAAACAAACAAAAAAATCATGTAGAATATTGAGAATGAAGAACCTAAGCAATTCCATTTTACTTAAGACCCCATCTCAGTTCTGTGACTTAACTCGTGGCTCCCTTTAGCCACAATGCTAGGAATTTATGACAGAAAGCCATGCACAATTCTAGGAGCCATAGATGGCATTTGCTTAAGGCAGGTGTTAGCCCCCAACTGGTGTTGCCCCCCCAGCGACCTAGGGCTAAGAGTTTCCGGTTCCGATAATTTTCTGACCAACCGGTTCTTCAGAGCCCAGGGCAAGACATGCCATGCATTCTGTTGGTCCAGGTGTGACTCATAACCATTTTTGGTCAAGCTATGGACCAAGGACATTTTTCTGTAAAGGTCAACCAATCATATTTGCCCAGCTTAGCTTGCTTGAAATGTTAACCAATCATGTAATTTCTTATGTAGAAATTTCTTAAAGTTGTTTGTCCAATACTATAAAAACTGTGCTGATTTTACGCTCGGGGCCTCTTAGTGTCACCGGTTGCTGAGTTCGCGGAGGACCAAGCTTAAGCTTGCAACAAATGACTCTTTGCTGTTTGCATTGATCATGGTCTCTGGTGGTCTTTTGGGGGGTCTCCGGACTCTGGGTACTACAAGAACAACAACAGAGAAAAACTTCTTGTGTCTATATCTTGGAGTTTTCATTTGTTTTCTTGGAGTTAAGAACACAGGGATTAAGTTTTAAAGAACAATTTTGAAGTAGACCCGGAGAAGAGACTTGAGCTGGTACAGCTCCATTCCAGGCTTTGCCTTTGTTTTAGGCAAAGACCCCATTTTTGACTGACCTTTAAGGGTGCTGACTAAGAACCTTTAAACAAGGTTCAAAGTAGAAAAACAACCTTAATCACAGGGCCACATCTTGGCTCTGACAAGCCTAGGTCGCCCGAATGAAAAAAATGCATCTGGTCCCCCTTCCCTTAACAACCTAACCCACCCTTGATTGTTCTGTTAAAGATTGATCAATAAAACTGATAAATTGTAATCTGGCTCAAACTGGTGATATCACATGCTTGCGGTAAACCCCGCCTTGCCTGCTGCCATTTTAAGCCAAAGTGATAGGCTGGTTTAAATAGCCATTACAGACAAACTGTAACCTCATTGGCCACCTGTGTGTGGTCTGGTATGACTGTACAATCCTTTGTGAGTGTTACGATCCCATTGGTCACCTGCGTGTGACCAGGCTCAACCTCATGAATTTTGCCTTTAAAAACCAAAGTATGGGCCGGGCACTGGTGGCTCACGCCTGTAATCCTAGTTACTCAGGAGGCTGAGATCTGAGGATCGAGGTTCAAAGCCAGCCCGGGCAGGAAAGACCGTGAGACTCCTATCTCCAATAAACCACCAGAAAACCGGAAGTGGCGCTGTAGCTCAAGTGGTAGAGTGCTCGCCTTGAGCTGAAGAGCTGAGGGACAGCGCCCAGGCCCAGAGTTCAAGCCCCACGACCGACAAAAAAAAAAAAAAAAAAAAAAAACAAAGTATGTGGGCAGCTCCCAATCCTGTGCTGTTGTCCTGGCCTGTCAGTGTAGGAACTCTCAATAAAGTTGCTTTTTGTTAAACAACTTTGTTGTGGTGGGCTCTGGCACTCTGGATGACTAGGCAGGCTTGCCTGACTGAATAGGGGTCTTCCTACTGCAATTTCACAAATTACTCATAAATATCTGAAAACTCATTTATTTAATCTCACTTAGAGAGATGAAAGCAACCTAACTAAAGCTCAGCATCTATCACCCATCAAATTGTCTAAATTAGCCTGACTGGATGGCTTACACATGTAATCCTAGGTACTCAGGAGGAGTTCTCAGTTTGAGGCCAGCTAGGGTAGGAAAGTTTGTAGTACTCATTAGGCTCCATTTAACCAAAAGGCAGAAGTGAAGCTGTGACTCAAGTGGTAGAGTGCCAGCTTTGAGGATTAAAGCTAAGGGACAGTTCCAGGCCCTCACTTCCAGCCCCTATTTCAGGAGGGGAAAAAAATAAAAGAGTAGAATCCTTGCCAGGCAGCAGGGACTTTGTTGTTATGACTAGACCCTACCTGATTGATCCAGAGACAAACACTAATTGTTATGGAGGAAAGAGTCCACCATTCAAGAGACAGCCTCAAGTAAAAAGATGCCTTTATTGGGGAAGTGGATGGCTGAGGGCCAGGTGGCCAACGGTATTGTACCACATACACATAAAGATTGCATATTTATGTCAGTGGCCAGTGGAGTTACAGTCCGTCTCATAGTATCTGTTTGAACTAACCTATCATTCTGGTTTGAATTAGCATGTAAATTTGGGGGTCCCCACACAAAGCAGGGGTGGGGGCAGGGATAAAGCTGCTCCTTCCTGGAAAGGCAAAGGTGGCTGGGCTGTTTTACTATAGTTAACCAAACTGGGCTGCAGATCCTGTCTGGGCTATTGATAACCAAACAGGGCTGCAGATCTCACAACCTTATCACAACAATTGGCAGGGCTTTCCACATGTCTTGGGGTCTCAACAAACAGCATATTTCCTGCCCCTGGGGGCTTGTAAGAAACCAGTATTTTGATTCTCAGGGACAAGGAAAACTCCTGGTATATTAAAAATGGAGTTAGTTTTGAGTCCCCTTAACACTAGGAGACCCTTCCCCCCTACACAATCAACATTGTGATCAAGGCTAGTTATATATGCTTCTGACACCTTCCCTGTATAATCTGGAAGCTCATGTCAGTACCCTTAAGAAGGATTTGGAGTTCACTAAATGAATTCTTTGTTCTTCCCAATGCAACCATGTTAAGTAAATCTCCTTTCTCTGTCCTTCATATCTCTTAATTGGCATATTGGGATGTGTGACTGAGCCTAAAGTGTTGTAATACTTGGAGCTGGGACTTTCGCCCTTAAGTTTGGGTCCAAGGTTTGGTGCCAACATGACAAAGCATAAGGCAGAGCACTTGA